TGGACCCGACCAACGAAGCGGCTGCCAACTGGCGGTTGTTGCATCAGGCGGTGGTAATGTGTGGCTAAATAGAACGATTGTGAACCTTAGAGGATGGGATATAGTTGATGCAGAATTAAGTGGACAAGCCTCATATTCGGCATGATGCACACCCTCATGCACGTCAACTGTTTGTTAAATAGTCCGAGTTTCATGAGACAGGCGGCTTCCGGTTTGCTCGGTGACCACTCTCATTGAGATTCTGACTGGCCGTTGAAATGTGGTGGCCTTGCCCCCTCAGTTCTCCTGCAAACGAACACCATCGGGCGTGTCTCTTGTGACACTTCTGAGTCGGTTGCCGCACTGCCGCAGCTGGATCCGGCTTCCGGGTTTACGAACCATGGGGAACACGCTGAGGCTTGTGCTCGTTTTATTCTCATGCTTTTCTGTGTCCTATCCTAATCCGTCAGCACTGAACAACCACTTACTTCCGCAGTGTTTTAACTTCCTCATCAACCCCTGCCGTAAATTCACTACCCCCTGTCAACATGAACCTGTCCTGGACTGCTGCAGCGTTTTGCACGGTGCTTGTTTCCTTCCAAAAAGATCGGATTCTATGAAGTCCCCCGCCCCCATCGGGCTTCATGTTCAGAAGTCTGTTTTACTGCTCCACGCATAGATCGTTGTTTTACCTCAAAAATGTTAATTCGGAATATGTGAATATTGCTACCATAGGTGTGATATACGAATTGCTAAAAAAGCTCTTAGTCCAGTACCATTTCATACTTCATAAAACTCCTCTTTCAATTCATTTGTACAATTGCTTGCTTCAAGCAGACACCCCAGACCAAAATTAAGGTAAATTATCTCAGTGTTTAAACCAGTCTTCACATTGCACTAATATATTCATCAGACCACTTCAAAATAAAGCTATTACTATTGATGATAGTAATGCCTATTCAGTCTTCTCAGTCTGTGTTGCTAGTTATCATCGGTTATGGGATGCGGGCTCCGGGCTTGAGGTTGTCCCAATGGACCTTGACTTAATTCAGGTATTTGAGTACGGGAAACGGGCAAGGAACATACTCTCGAACCAATGTCCCCTTAGCTGGGTCATTCAGTGGCTGAAATGCAGAGAAACGCTTGTCTCGACCTTTGAGTGATGCGAATATTTGTAGCATGCTGATGTTGTTTTCTGTATCCTTGAGGAGACAAATATCCTAGCAGCGCTATAGCCTCAGTGAGTGCTAGTTAGATCTATCTAGCAGTTGTCTGAGAGATTGGAAATCTCGCTGTTGACATAAAATCCCGCTTCCTGCTCATCAACACACCCCTCATCACGGTCGTCAGTCCCAATGCGTTCTTCCCTTCCACCCTCTCCACCATTGCAAATCTGGCTGCGACGTGGTGAAACCGTGGAAATACGAGTCCATTTGGATGAGGAATGACCATTGAGACGCACGCGAAAAATGCGTTCTGCCAAACTCCTTCTAGGGTCAACAAATCAATCAACCGACCTGATCGGACCTCTGCCAAAATCGGTCGATCTGGAGACTATCAGTGAAGACTGAGACAGCAATTCACGAGGCCAACCGGGTCGTCGCTGGCAATGCTAAATAAGCGACTCGCAAGCTTCAGGTGCTGCGGGTTCACAATCCGAACACACCGAGTTCCTGGCAACGAGTCTATGTCGTCAACGGACATTAGGCCCTCCAGCCGCCGACGCCCTCTACCAAGCCCATCATCACCGCTCCATGTCCACAACGGCGTCGGCGGCGACGACGACGACGACTACTTCCGATACTTTAATCCCACCGCCAGTGAGAATGTCGAAAGTCGTGTGCTCGACAAGATAAAGATTCCCAATCAAAAGTCAGGGAAGACGGTTTGAGTTGGACAACCTTTACTGCCTGGGGAAGTGCGTACACAAGGGCTCTGTTGGCAGTCGTCGCGAGCGCGCTCCAAGCAAGCTGTTGTCTGTGTCCGCCTTCAAGGTGTTGTCAGCGCGTGTGTGCCCTTTGTTGTCTCCACGTCCGCCAGCCAATCAGAGTGGGGAAAGCGGTGATTGGCTTCGAGCACTCGCGCGTCCCAGCAGCGTATCGACACGGAGTGTGAGGCGGACAGGACGGCAGCGTGACAAAGGCGAAGGGCGAGGAGCCGCGAACTGCCACAAGAACACTCCCGATGGCCTGCCACCCATCAGGGAGTTCTAATCAGACATGTATAACAGTTGACTAAGAGATCGCGAAAGTCGGTGATAACATCCATCACACTTCTTTATCAGTATGTCCCTGTTCTCGACCGGTAGGCCTCAATACAACCGAGAGGACAACGAGCCCGTGACTCAATGCTTTGGGCTTTTTGCTACAAACTAGCAGGACGCGATCTTGGGCATCAGTGGTTGCAAACCTAGGACATGGTGATGCCGTGTAGGCGCGAGTCCATTTGGATGCGGGACAACCATGGAGACGCACGCAACGAATACGTTCTGCCAACTTCGTTCTAGGATCAGCGAATGAATCCACCGGCCTGGGAGGAACTCTGCCACAATCGGTCTATCAGGAGAATACCAATGAAGACGGAGACAGCAATCCACGAGATCGCCGGGTCGTCACTGGCAATGCTAGAATAGCGACTCGCAATCCTCACTTGCTGTGGGTTCACAAACTTAACACCCAATCCCTTCCAACGGATCCATGTTGTCAACGGGCATTACGCCTTCCAGCCGCCGACGCACTTTACCACCCCTTTCATCAATGCTCCATGTCCTAAACGACGAGTACCGCTACTTCCATCCCATCGCCAATAAGAACAGTTCACATGGCCTGCCACCCATCGCCACCACTTCCACCACGAGCCACACCGCCCACCACCGACACAGAATAGGCACCTCTCACATAAAGGAGTAGAGTGGTCTGTGGCGCAACCCGGTGCCTGATCAGGTCGGATGCGGCAAACGTATACGAATCCTCGTAGCTCAGTCAGTCCCTGTACCCACCCCCATCGTCAGCTGTCTGATCTGCCGGAAGATTTTTGTGGTGCGCTGGAGAGGGAAGTGATGGCGAGGCCGACTTTGAGGACTCCAACTTACGGCATCCCAAGCGCTTTGCTCAAACGTGGCGCGGTCGAATCCAGCAGGACGGGCTAAGAGCTGTGGCTTAGGAGATGGGCAACTGACGATGCAACACAAATCTCGCGGCCAGTTCTTTATTTTCGGAGTGACCGACTGACGGATCAAGAGTCAGGACCTAATGATCCTTTCTCAAGTTGCTTCTGTGGGGTTCCTCACGCATGTGAGATCTAAGCCTCCTATCAACTTCATTCGAATACGGGACTGTTGTGCGAGGGTCAAGATGTGTGTGGCACGCAACGGCGTTCTGATGAGCTCTGTTAGTCACTAACGCCAAATCCCCATATCGAATGACTGACCGACACGGACAGTGAAGCGATGCCTGCGAGAGTAAAGAGAGAGTGATATTAACCCCGGCGATCAGAGCACATTCCTCGTTACAAAAAATTTGCCGCGGCTTTGAACGAACACGGTGGGCTAAAAGGCCACCTGCTGACGGGATAGTTCGTAGAGGCCGGCTGCAGTGGCTCCTTGTTGTTGGGATCTAGGCGGTCCCCTTGTCGTTTTGATGAAGACATGGTCCATCGTGCGCAGGTAGGCGTGTTTGTGTGACAAGTTAAGTCGTCTCATCCTGACTTAGTTTTGCCAGAACGGTGAGAGAGGAGGCAGTGAGGCAGATGCCGCTCTAGTCTGCCGTCAATATGAACTAATTCACGCGCAAGCCACCATGATTGTTCTACTCTCTCCACTATCTTCTGGCCAATATGATACTTTGGAGTCTACTGGCGGGAATATCTGGAGGAGAGGGCCGTCTGCGTTCTTCAAGTTCACATCCCATTAGAACTGTTTTCTGTACGATTGACTTTGAAAAACGCTGTGATCATGGAAGGCCTTACTCATCTAACTATCCTGAGTAGGAGTGTATATTAGGAGAAATTTTTCATTCGTTTTACTAGCTGTGAGACAGAACTCTGGCAGCCGACCTTAAGCATGATGTGAACAAGCAAAATTTGCTCGGTAAAACCTATGCTAACTACTCTCTGAATGAGACCGCCCTGAAATCCAGATGAACTCGACATCCTGAATTTCATTTCCGTGATAAGTTGG